TTTTAACAGATTTCAAGTCCCATTCAAACATCATTTTTTATCTTTAGAGATATCTATACAATTTTTTAGTGCCTCTTGTCCATTTTCAGTTAATTCTATTTTGGTAGGTCTTTCTTTTATACACATGATCATCTGGAATTCACTAACTTTATCTATCCATTTTTTACATGCACATTGCAGGGCTTCTGTTTCTAGAAGCTTTTTGGATAAGCTATTATTCAACCCTTCGCTATTCTATTATTATGTTCAACTAATGTTTTCTGGTTGTTTTCATTTTCGGTTACATCATCATTGATGCCTTCAAGCCTTGTGAGTAGGTTTTGTATTTTCTTTCCTTTCTTTTGGTTCAATTCATTTGATTCTGATTTATTAATAGTATTTACTTTAATCTTTTTAGCTTTAGCTTCTTTTCAATAGCCAGGTTCAATTGGATATGTTCCATTAGCATCACCCATATCTGCAGACTTTTGGTAATAAACAGATACATTATGACTATTTTGTTCAATATCAATTTTATTTGAGTTGTAGAGTCCAAGATTAGTTTCTTTATTAGGTCATTCTGTATTAGCAGATTCTTGGAAGTTATCAAATATCTTAGATTTATCCAGTTTAATTCCAATTCTATTGATCAGTGAGTTTGTTTTATCTTTTCAACATCAATTCTATTTTGGTGGCAATAACCAAGATTGCCTTTCTATCATCATGACTCAGCCTAGCTAATTCTTGATAAGATTCGAAAGACTTGTTTTCATCACTCTCATATTTGATATTTTGGGTATTTCTTTTATCAGCACCTTTAGGTTCATTTTTTATTTTCATTTTTTCTTTCACATTTAGATTACAGCATCTACTAACCTTTTTATATCCTTTGGTTTCTTTGTTTTTACCTTTATTTTGTTCAGCTTCTGTCTATGAGTAATTAAAGACAAGGCCTTGGGGTGTCATTATTAGATAAAGTATATAAATTACCTCTTCCTTATCTTTCTTTTTGCCTATCATAGGCATCAGGGTTAGAACAATTCTTCTAATAGGAGTTCACAAGTAGAGTCTTTTTTTGATTTGATGGATTATAGCTAGACCTTTGTATAGGCCAGATAGAACCAGGTAATGAAAATACTCTAACTCTATCTATTTGTGTAAGGGTTTGACTTCCAAGCCCTACTCTTACTCTAGGGCTCAGAATTTGATGCCCTAGCCTGGTTCTCAAAGCCCATGGGCAGTGATATATATTTTAACTGTCCTACCACTTTTTTAAAAATGTCCAAGATCTAAAATATTAATTTTAGCTTTAATTATTTAAAATATTTTTATAAAAAATATATGATTATATATTCCATCTAATGTTCTACAACTTTATTTAGAAGATTAAAACAGATTATTATAATAAAATTTTGAATAAATTAGCTTTATTTTTTGTCAAAATATCTCAAAATATCCAAATACTATGACCTAAAATATCCTGTGTCTGTGGGTATCTACAGGCTTAATATAAGTAATACACGCATTTTAATATGAATAAATAAAATTAGCTAGTAAATATATATGAAGTTGAATGCTTATTTAAAATACTTGCATTAATAAATGCTTTTTACATGCACATGCCAAATTAATGTGACTAATGAGAGCTAAATATTAAATATTCATGAACTCGAATACCTGATTTTAAATATTTAGAATGATATTATTTATACTTTGCATGTTGATGAAGATCAATAGATAGAAAAGAAAGAGTAGAAGTAGAACTAGTCAAGGGTTATATGCTATATACTAAAATTCTTGCACCAAAAAATTAATCATAATCAACAAAGTATGGGTTGAGATCAGAAATCATATATATAAATTAATAAGCAGAGATATGTAATAAAAAAGCTACTAATATATAAGAACTGATGAAAAGCACTTTAAATACTTTTTTTCTTTTAGCCTTAGATGCAAATTTTTTTACTTCAACCCTTTTTACCAAACAAGGTAATCTTCTGATTTTGCTATTTTCCTATTTAATAGCTGGTATATTTCAAGCAAATGAAAAACCACCGGCTGATGCTGCTTCTTACTTCTTTTACTGTTATAATAATATCTAATGCAATCATACTTGCTAATTATCTGGTGTATATCATCATTTCAGTTCAAATTGCTTAGCTAAAATTACTCACAATATATTTTGCAAACTTCAAGTTCTTTATTTCTAGCATCTTTGGCTAGCCGGTATTCTTCTAATCATTGACTAGTCATACCTATGCTTTCGATATATTAAATTATCATGAATAAAATAAACTTGAATAATTTATTTATTTTGAATAATTGGATTAATAATATACTAAATTTGTGAATATAACAAATTGCAAATATTTATATACTTGAAATATCTTATTTTAAATACTTAGATTAATAAATATTTTTTATGCAATAAATTAATGTCGCAGCTGATACTGAAAATGGTTGAAGCTGAAATTTGGGGTCTCGATTTAAAAATATAAGCCCTATTAAAATCCACATATACTTGTTAATTATCAAATCTAACCCTAAACACTAATTCAACTATAAAAAAAAAGCAGGGAAAAAACACCCCAAAAAATTTTAAAAAATTCATATCAAAATAGATCTGAATTTTAGCATCAGCCGTTTTCAGCATCAGCTGTGACAATTAATATTTTTTATACTCAATCTAAAATTATAAAGAATAGATATTTACAAATTTTGATAGTTATTTAAATTTTGATTAATAAACATTTTTATCTTAGTTTTCTTAAATAAAATAGACATCAGATATAAATTAATATTAATATATATTAGCCAATTATATGAACTGATATTCATGTAAAATATGTATAATGGGTATCTACAGTACTACCCTCACTCTACCCACTTGTGTAAGAGCCTATGTTTCAAGCCTTTACCTTTACTCTATGGCCTGGGATTCAATACCCTAGTCTGACCTTTGTAATTCTACTTGCAAGTACCCATGGATAGCTCAGGCCCATGCAGAGGCCTAGTTATAGTGAGCAGAAGTTCTTGCAAGGGCTTGATTGTAGGTCTAGTACTTATCTTCATATGCATAATAGGCAAGGGCAAGTTGGTAACTTTTATATATTGATCAGGATTTTGAAGATCTTTAAATACAGGCGGTAAGTGCTTCAATAAACTTTTTAATTACTTTGCTTAATCATTTAATCTTGTTGGATATTTCTTTTAATTCCAATTTCATTTTTTTTTTTTTTTGGTTTGGACAATTGGTCTTATATCCAATAGTAATTACAATAATTACAACTTGTGAGAGGGCCAGGGAATCATAATATGACAGTGAGGGTTGCAACAATAGTTTTGGGTAGACTCAGTATGTTGGTCCTAAAATACAACTTCTCAAAGAAACAATTTATTTTTCAAAAAAAAAATTATTACAAAGTGAACACAAGTAGACACAGTCCATCAGTTCACAAAAGAAATTCTACAAAAAACTAATTCGGACTCGGTATGTTGGTCCTAAAATAAAATATCTCAACAAAAAAAAAATTTAATTTTCATCAAAAAAAAAAAAAACTATTGCTAAAATCTTCATAATATATAAACACAAGTAGACACAGTTTGTCAGTCTACAAAAAAGAATTCCACACAAAATCAATTCAGACTTGGTACGATAGTCCTCAAAAAAACTAACAAACAAATACTCAAAACTTAAAACAACCAAAGAAAAACAGAAAAACAATCAAATTTATATTGAGAGTAACATCATTATAGTTCTGATTTTGAATCTTACAGCTAGAAACAGCTGAATTTGCCGAATCTCAGAATCTTGAGGCTTCGGGACAGTATTATTCTATTTTACAGTCCAGCTATTCGGAAATGTTTAATCTCACAATCCAGCTGCTTGGGGTCTCCAACAAGTGCTTGATCTCACAGTCACCACCAAATTGTTGTGGGCCAAAAGAACAAACCCACACTCACAAAACAAAGCAGTATCAAGGCTTTACTCAACAGTTTAGAGGCAGAATCAACTTGGCAAGGTCTAAGGCAATAGTTGAGTATTTTCCAACTAGGGTGATTTGGGTAACTTAAAGAGCATTATATTTTTATTGACACAAAGAGCTTTTTTATTTATTATATCAGGGGAGGGGGGTAATTGCACACGGTCAATAATAATGCGGTAATAATTAATTAAATGCCGTCATGCTTTTACAAGAACGATTCGACCTCTTATTTATAACGAAACTACAGGTCAAGAAAAGAACAAATTCGAAAATTCTAATCTATTCCCATCTTCTTTTTTCATTATATCGCCATTGAGCTTTAGCCAAACAACCATTCTAGTCTAATGCCCTACTCCTTACACACAGCTAAAGATGCTTGACGAATGACGAAACGTTCGCTATTGACGAATGACGAAACCATTCGTCATGCAACTTCTCATTGACGAATTGACGATTGACGAAACCAGTGACGATTGA